AAAATGTGTAAACAATTTAACTTTGGAAAGATTAAAATCGACATTGTCTTACGCATCGGAGTAGACGATTACCATGTAATTCTTTTACATAGAACTGAGGGTGTGAGTGCGACCGTAAGTGTATGTGGAGTGAAGAGATTGAAAAGGTCAACTAACTTTTTAGTTAAAAATGATAAACTCAGGAAAGGTTAGTTAGTTAGTTATAGATTTCTATACCAAATCCATACCGCAAATTTCAACTCCCATCGAACCCCTTCTTATTTTGGTCTTCACATTAGATTATTTTCATTAGCTGTTTATTTTCAATTTTAAGGCGCTATTAGGTAAATTACTATAATCTTTTAGATTTTTTTTTTGTCCATATAATTAATTACATGCGACTCATTAGGTTTCTGGATAATTTCATAGAGTTAGTCAAAAGGCCTTCTGATATCATCTTTAATAGGAACTAAGCATGAAATTTATCAGCAAATTTTTTTTTTTTTTTGAAACTAGCAGAGGAATTTGTTCGAAGAAAAGAATTATCAGCAAATATTGTGAAAGAATATTAAAGGAAAGTGTAAACGAAGTTCCTGTACTACACATTATTACAAGGAACAACTAAAGAAAGAGACTAAAAACAGAGTTAAATTGGACTATACATTTTTGGTATGGAAAAATGTATTAAATAAGATAATAATGAAAATGAGATATGAGATTACTTACCATAACTACATTAAAGYTAAAATTGGAATRTKAMGTAAMTYAAATYTTAGTTAKTAAATTTWATTTTATTTGATGTTAGATAATTAAATATGGAGTCAATGAGTAATATATAGTCCAATTAAATGATCAGGATCAGTTCAATAACATGTTTGAACTAATAAATAGGTCAAGTCATTCAAAATTAAATGATCAGTAAAAGTAGTAAGAAGAAGATTAACATAAAGACTTGGATACAAGCCGTAATGGTCTCGATGACATTCAATAGTTGAGCTAACAACTCCGCATTTGGTATTTTCGAGTTCTTAGTTAACTTTGACACATAAGTCATACGAGCGTGGGAAGAACATTTCCTAAATATCTTCCTTTAACTTATTCCATTTGATTAGTCGTTTACAGAGTAGTTATTAAAGTCAACAATAACCCTAAAGCTTACTTGAGTATACGTGACAACATATAGTGTCTTTAGAACATGTTCATCGAGGGTTTCTCAATGGAATTCTCAAAATACTATAAAATATTAATATGGTTATTTTATTAAAAAAATATGATTTAAATATTTATGGATATTTCAAAATTTGAGAAATCCACTAAAAATCTTTCATTTGAGAAATTTTTGAGTGAGTTTCTCAAGTTTTGAGATACTCATAA